GATGAGATGTATTCTAGAAATAGTTGTTTATACCACATTGTCTTTCCTTTCCTTTGGTTTTTCACTGTATCTATAGTTAACAGTTATCATTTCAAATCTGAAACAGGCAAAATTATATGTCAAATCAGTTACATTACAAACCTACAGATTCTAGTTACATTATGAGGTTCACAGAGTACCCTAATCACACAGCCTGACACAAATACAGACCTTGTATTATTGGGAAAACCCCTTCCTGCAGCAGCACAAGCAAGCCCTACAGTGAAGATGTAGCTAGGCAAAAGCACAAGAAATAGGTCACATGGAATAAGTACAGCCTGGAGCAGGTGACACTAGCCACAAAAGGTGTGCGTGACTAACATACACATTCTGCTTAACTAAAGATACAGATAAAATTACAGATTGAAAGAAAACATGAGCTTGAAAGGGACCTCTGGAGATGATCTAGTCCAACTCCCCTGCTCACACAGGGTCACCTACAGCAGGTTGCTCAGGACTGTGTCCAGTCAGGCTTTGTGGTGGGAGACTATAACCTCTGGGTAAAAAAAGTTTAAATGGCATTTCTTGCATTTCAGTGTGTGCCCATTATGTCTCATCCCATCACTGGGCTCTAGGGAGGACAGTCTGCCTCCATTTTCCTTACACCCCCCCAGCAGGTCCTTTGATAAGGACCTTCCTCAGCCTCCTCCTCCTCAAGCTAAACAAGTCACAGCTTTCTCATTCCTTATTCAAATTCAGGGTCTTTCCTCCTTTTGCAGCATCTGAATCTTTCTATCCCATCTCCTTGGGCCAGTGCTGTCTTCTGACTGTGACACCTGCCTTTGTTTCCTCATAACATGAACTTTTAAGCATGGTGCTTGTTGGTAAGACTGCAGGAATGTCTTGCTCCCCACAAAGACCTCATTATGCAAATTGCTTCACTCTCAAAGACTGGCTTTTAGATCCTTGACCTGTCAAACTTTTTCTGTATTTTATGCTGATTACCCGTCTAGCATGATTTCACTAAGATGAATGATAAAATACTGCAGCCATTACCATCTAGGCATAAAATTCAGGCAGCAACCTGTCACAGACGAGTGTGAAGAATGCAGCAAACCCACTTAACAGAAACATAAAAAGGAAGCATTCTCCAAAACACAAAACTCTTGAAAAAAACAAAAGACACAGACAAAAATGTTGTAAGAGGATATTGTGAGAGGTGTCTGGTAATATGTATTGCTGTTATTAAAAAAGCATTAACTACATAGTGACATAGATCTCTCTTTATAAGAATGCTGAGCCTTTGTAGCAGGAATATACCAGAAAACCTCAGGGCTGTACAGAAAAATAGTAGCCTTAGAACTCTAGAAACAGGAAACTTCAATTTTTTTTAAAAAACAACTTGTAGAACTTTTGGTAATCTGGCATCTCTGATTATCCCCACTAGAGGTCATAGAAGTAATTGCACTTCAGTGCATGTGGAGTGTGTGGAATGAAGTGAGCTACATTTCCATGACCAAAAAATGGGATCCTTTAATGTGACTTAAATATAACTTTTCTGAGATTTCTATTAAACTACCCAGTGTAAACTACCCGGCTTCCTGCAGCTACACAGCAGGTAGTGCACGTGTCTATATGCAAAAGTTAAGTCTTACCAGCTCCCAGTCATAAACAGCTTTGGAGATAAAGATAATGGAATTATTGAGACACCTAAGTAAAGAAGAAGACAAATCTGAATCTAGAACAATTAGGGGAGCAGCCATTTCAGAAACTGCTGCTGAAATTAAATAGCATCAGTAAATATTAAAAGAGGACTACACAGTAACTCCATCCTAACACTAGCATTCAACTTCTCCTCCCAGCTTTCTGCTGTAATTAAACATTCAGATAGAATCATTGATCTGATTGACTGCCACCAGTGATTAACCAGAGCGTACAGATTTGTGCTAATTGCTCTACACTCTTTTTCTCAGTAACTGGCCTGGAAAAATGCAAATAATTGTGTTGTGCCTGGTTCCTGCAGTCAGCATTTCTGAATTATTTGTAATTTCCCTTCAGCTTCAGATTTTGTGGGACATGAAAGGGTAATGTGGGAAGCCTCAGACAGCATAATTAAATACTTCATCTTTGTTCATTATAGGATAATCATACATGCCTTTTCCATTAACTTTGGAAATGCTTAAGTGAAGTCCTGGCTAGAGTTAGAACTGCAGATAGAAACTATACACTGAGGAAGACTATTTTGTCCTGCTCTGAAAGATGTCAGAAGGAGCATGGTGGTGGATAAACAAAGCAGCCAACAGGCCTAGTCAGAGGAAATTAAAAGATGCAGTGGAGGTTTTTGAAACCAGGATTCTCAGCACTCACAAGCACTATACCTGGGGAAGATGAGGAAAACCAGCTTGTAAAGTGTAGGATGTAAAGTCTAGTCAAAAGGAAGAATTGTTTCCAAGTCACAATCAAAAGCTTCAGTTCAGCCATAAGACAGGCTGTGTCGCACCTGACTGTATGACAGATCAAGCAGACCCCTACACTTTTAACATGCTTAATCCAGGATAGGCTGAGAATACCAACTCAAACAAAATAAAAACAAACCAACCAAAACAACAGAAAGCCCCTTTTATTCTGCTGGGTTACTTTTCAGCTAGGTCAGGTCCCAAGCCAAGTGCAGCACAGCCCACGACAGCTGTGTTAGCACAACAGAGAGGAGGGGGTAAGGGCAGGCTGCCACAGTGGGGATGCGCCAGCTTTGCTATTTCAGGATCATGCAGAATGGCTGCCTGAGGATGCTTAGCACTGAAGTTACTCCTGATTGCAGAATCAATTTCAAACACAGAGGAATCTCTCTCAGTTCTGAGTGATGCTTAAACTGTAGGCTTGGAGAACTTGAAACTGGTGCTAGAGAAGTGCTTGTTGCCAGCACCTATACAGCTAATGACTAGGTACTAAATGCAAAACAGGAACATGAGATACCATCCATCATGCAGCATCATCTGGACCCGAGCTGCAGTAGCTTGAGGCCTACTCCCTTTTGATGAGTTGGTGGGGTGACTTGACAGGCATGGCTCAAAGAGCTTTGGGAGGTGGGTAGATTCTAGGCAGCAAAACCTGTCCAGAACATAAATCACTGGCTAACAGTCATAAAAGAACCACGTAAATGTAACAGCCCTTGGAAAATAATTACACTCAGGTCTCATCAAAGGATCCCTTCACCTGTCACTGAAATGCAGCTGCTTCCACAATGGAATGAAGAGCTGCCTCACAGCACCATTCAGTAATAGGTAGAGTACTGACAGGATAAGCTACAACTAATCTTAAGTTTTGCTGAAGAAGGTGAATGTCAGGCCTGAGAAAATTGTAATTGGTCAGAACAGAGTTGAGCCAGCACATCTCTTGATCAGCATTAGTAGTGTGTCACTAACCATAAACAGTTGGATCCCTTCGTTTAATTCTCATAAAGTAACAGAACTGTCAAGTTGAAGTTCATGAGTCCTAGAAAGGAAGGCAAATTGCACTCAGCCATGTATGAAAAGATTATTTAAATGCCTAACCTTTTAAAAAGTGCTTCTATTTATAGATGCAATATCTTTACATTATTGAACCATTTTTTGGATAATTTCTTAAATGTGTGAAATGTTATTAATCAGATTGTAACAATGCAGAAACCACAGCTCTTAAAAACTTACAAACTTTAGTTTTCCATGACATAAACTAATAGGGTGTATTAAAGGAGACTGAAACTTTTAAATCGTTGTCTGCTCTATTTGAAGGTAGTTTGAACCAGAGAAGCCTAAAAATATGGAGCAAGAACATAAGTAGGAAAATGAAAAGCTGCATTTTACCCTTGAAGAAGCTTTAGGATGACTTTGAAAATAGAACATTACCTCCCCATTCTTCTTCCTTCTCCCATCTTCCTCTTTAAAATATTACAGATTTCACAATGTTGTTATCAAAGACTAAGTGAGAATACATTACTAGGTAGTATAAAGGAGCAGGACTAAAAATGGAGGTTTATAACTTAAACTAGAACAGCAGCAAATCTCAGCCCCACAACTGCAATCTCGCAGTATTACCATAATTCCACAGTTAAAAATAGAAAACCAGAGAAGGATGTTACATTGTTAAAATGTAGCTGAAAAATTCATGAATCTTCTTTAGAAATACCTAGTCTCTCTAATGCACTTCAGGGACTGGCAGTTTTGTTCCCAAGTCTGTGTCTCTGCAACTGAAGCACTGACAAAGTAGGATGAATGCTGGCTGCCTGAGTGGGTTACTCCAGACATGCTGCAACGCAGAGGTTCACAGTTCCACAATCTATCAGTTTCTCGTACATTACTGTCTTGCCTCTGTCTTCTGTGTACATGCAGTCTGCAGGCAGCCTAGGGGGGCTATATCCTGCTCTCAGTTCTCAGGACCACAAGAATTGCAGTTTGATCAAGTAAAACCAAGGATATCCACCCCTCTGGCTAAAGTAAATTCTGATGATATACAAAATAAAGGTTTGGAGATTTGGCTTTTTATTTTATTACTATACCTACTTTGAGTAGATGTAGTAATAATTAAGAATTCATAGTTTTGATGCAAAAGATCGGAGAGATACATGGGAAAATTTCCATAGACATCTCCAAGAATTTAAAGTATGTCAGTTTTAATTGATGAGTGTAGAGGCAAACAGCTAAAATGAAGAAGTGTCCTGATTTCAAACTGTATGCATCAGAACACTAAAAATGGAATAAAACAACCTAAAGATACTAACTTTTCTTCCCCTTGCTTTCTGGAGTTGGGTTGTGAAAGGGAGATAATGCTACCCATTCTACCTCAGTCTTGTTCTGAAAATTAATATTAAAAGGAGAGCTGAGTGTTGGGATACTAGAATTAAAAAAAAAAAGGCCACAAGAGGCCACAAGATGATTGAGGAGGAGCAGATTCTACCACAACCTGACAGAAATTCTAGTCTGGTCATGGGAAGCACTGGAGTCCAGATACCTCATTAGCACAGAAATCTGCTATTCAAGAACATCTCATTCTTTTTTAAAGATAATTGAGTTTAAAAGATTTAGAAAAAGCCTTCCACACCCTACTAAGAGTTTTTGCATTTTATTTATCTCTAACGACCTTAGAAAAGATTGTTTTATGAAACAAAGGACATAGGGCATGCTGTGCAGTGCTCTAGTAAATGCAGTAGAGAAACTGCTTTTAAACATGACCAAAGGAATTTTTCAGTGACTGTATTAACTTGCTAGCCATTTACACCTAAAATCTGAGGTCAAAAAACAGAACTTGGGCTTATTCCAGCTGCTGATTTCTGATGAAAAACCCATCCCAACTTGGATCTTCTGATCATGCCCTACTTACGTACGAAGAAATCTTAGTTTATATGCTGATACTTATAGTTGTTAAATGCTGCTGAGTAATGATGATAGTAATGTATTTGCTAGAATAGCAGTATTTGGTTAAGAGGAAGCAAAGAGAAGAAAAGTGCTTAACAGTTATTTTTTTGTGTCCTATAACACTTAATTACTTCATGATTGAAAATGTGAAGGTTTGGGGATACACTTGTCTGCCCTTCTTGGGTATTTCACTGCTCTTTGCAATGCATACTGCTCTTTGTCAGAAATACTGAAGGAGCAATGCTTGCTGCTTTTGCACAAGAATAGCATGACAGGCCAACAGTGAAAACTAAGATATGTAAATTAGGACAGTACCTGCAATAGCTTGCAAGTGAGTGCAGGAAATGTATCCCACAATTCTTTGGTCCTGAGGTGTACTTCCCACTTGCACCTGGAAGAGAAAGAAATAACAAGTTGATTAATGGAAGAGCCCATACGACTCCATTTCCAACCCTAGCTGGGCAGCCTTTGTACACAGTCTTGGTCCCTTTTACCACTCTGCCTAGCTCCAGTTTGAAATCACACACAGACACACAGAAAACCACCAGAGATGCACAGGGCTTACTGGGGCCCCACTGACTTCCTTCTGATTGCCAGTACTTCAGCATTATGATTTTGACCTGTAGCACTCACCAAAACTTGCCTTTCTCCTGTTCTTTGCAGTCCCATTGCTTGTCTGTCCCTGTTGCATTTTCACCCTTTTGCATCCCAGCTCTGGTCAACATGCAAGATTCAGACCTACCACTGAAATGCTGCATAATACCAGTATTACCAGCAGTCTAGTTCTTGGTATCTGTATAAGACAAAAGTGCGGAGGGAAAAAATGCCAAGGGAGTCTGGGGTAAAGCATGAAACAGGAAATAAACACTGGTTTTGATAATGTTTTCTCCATTCCACAGAAAGTTTTGTATTTTCATAGATTTTTTACATTCTTCTACAGAGGTGTTGGGGATTTTTGCTAGGTCTCAGTGAAGTGTTTAGATTCTTCAGCTCTCAGGAGCAGCCCCATGTCTGTGAGCCAGAAGAAAACAAAACATGCACCCCTGCTCTTACAGACAGCAGAGGCAGGGCTTCCAGGGAAGCTGGAATATAGTATAATTCCTCATCTATATCATATGCTACTCTTTTAAAAATGTGTTTGTTAGTAGGCATACAAGTAAATTAGAATCAAGTTCTGGTTTAGGTTTTCAACTCTATTGAAGGATTTGGCCATTCAGAACTTAAACAGCAGCAAATCAAAATTGCCAATGATTTGGGGATCAGATTGGGATTGAGGTGAGAAATGTTAGTTTGAGGGTATGATTTTCCTGTTGACAGTTAACATGGCAACACTGCATACACTGCTAAAGAAAATGCCCACAGAGGAAACCTGTACCCAGAGCTTAGAAAACAAAAGCACAGATGACTCTCCTTCACAAGGCTAGGCACAAATTTCATCTGACACCTCTAAATAACAAGCTGAGCTCCATTTCATACAGACACAATTTTGTCAGCTTGGTTGGTTTTCTAGTTTTTCAGCTATCCAAGAACCTGAACCAAATCTGATTCATTTTATAACTGGAAGCTCAGCTTTGCAGTAAGTGAATTTGGAAGTAATTTGTCCTCAACAATGCCTTGTTAACTTTCATTTTTTGTTCCAGATAGAAGAGTACCTAACAAACAGCTTGCATTATTCTGACTTCAGCCTGTTCTGTCCTCTTTTAGACAGTTTTCCAAATGGGTATTGATGATGTTCTTACTGCTGTTCCCATGCAGTTAACCTGCTTCAGGGAGGGTGAAGGCAGAGGAACACAAGAAAAACACATGCAGCAACTGGTAGATCTACCCCTAAACCAGAGGATTCTCTTAACCTCACAGTCTCCAAGGCTCTGCTGATCTGCTGGATGGCTGTTAGTGGCTTCCACAGAAACTTTGCTGTGCAGGCCTCTTTCTTCCCCCCTTAGGCTGCCTTAGTGTGAATATATCACAGTGTCACAGGTGAAGCAAAAGGAATGTTCTTTCCATTTTTTTAATGCAACATTCCAATAGAAAAGTGGGAAAATATTAGTTTATGTTCTCCACTATCTACAGCAGGCAGATTTTCCAAATAACTCAAAATCATATTCTCTGTTCAACCCTGAAAACTATATATTGTAAAGTCTCTATTAGTTTACAAATTTGCAGTGTGTCTTGGTGCAGAGGACGTGTGCATGCCAGACATCTTTCAATACCATCTACTGCAACCACAATAAAAATACGGCATGTAAAGTTTTCTGCCTTATAGCAAGAATGTGCTGCTTATAATTCTCTTATTGACTAAAGCAGATGCATTAATTTTCAGTGTCTCTATCAAAAAATCATACAAGATTAAAGTCTAAATGCTGAACATCCAAACATAAATTATAGTCAGTTGAGAAAAAGAACTCAGATTGGTTTTCAAATTAATTCCCTGTGCAGCCTTAATGGAGTGTCTGACAAGGCCTTTTACTCATCAGCCAATTTATGCACAGGATCACTCTCATTTCTATTAATCATAAATAAATATGTATCATCTGGTGTTCCTGTGTGCACAGATTTGTACTGAAATGGACTTTGCATCTTCCACAATCAAAGAATGAGAAGAAGTATCCTAGAAGAAAGACTGCTACATGCAGGTGGGGAGCACAACAAATGCTCCCTGGGGTTGCCACCACAGGGGGACACTGATCCAAGGCTCTGCACTTCCTAGGAACAATGCTGTATTACATACACCCCTGAGGGGAAAAGGAAGGGAGCTTCCATAAACACTTCTCATTAAAAAAAAGCTCCAAAGAAAGAGCTGAAGCCATTAGCTTAATTAGAACCTCCTTGGAAAGTGCCAGCATGGCAGTACATCCAAAGCAGCTCATTGCCCAGGTTTCACAGTTCCTCCAACTTCTTTGACTTTTGGCGTTTGGTTTTTTTGAATGGCAGTGTTGATGTAAACCACCAAGTCATTTAGAGTATAAACATAATAGAGACAAATATTGATGACAACTACTAGGACAGAAAATAAATATCCTTTTAGCCACCTAGTCAATCCCCAGCTACAGTACAAGCACTAGTATATTAAATATGGTTTGAAATAAAATAGTAAGGAAAATCTGATTATTCAGTCTAATTTGGTATTTCACCAATGAAAAAGGACTATGAACAGGAAAACTACTTGACCTCTGGAATATTACAAGCCCTATAATTCCGTATAAACACGTTCCTTTGTGTGGCCAAACACTGTAGCTACTTTTAGACTCTTCCATTTTCAAGGGTATATTGTGGTGACTTGGCCTGGGCAGCTACGTGGCAGCCCTGCAGGACACAACAACACAGAGCATTCATTTGAGCCTGCAACGTGGATCTTGGCAGAAAGGTTCTCACTTCCACCAAACCAAGTCAGCACTTCACAAATATAGCAGAATTTTTGCTGCTTAATACAGAAGAAACTTCTAAAGTCATATTACTAAGAAAATATACATAAGCAAATAAGCCAGAAAGGCTCCTTCCCCATAAGCCTGACTTACTTACATTCACCTCAACTGTTGTACATTGGTAGCTGTGTACCAATACACTCATTGAATTACCCTTCAGCATTGAATTACCACTTACTTTAGGTACTCCTTTCTGAAAATTATTCTGTAGCCGTAGATGTGTCATATACGACTCTTATATGTCTATGAAAATTTATGGGAAGGTAATAGCTAAATATATGTATCAGTTCCCAGTGTTTTAAAATAGGATACTCATTACAAGAGGAAAAGGTTTTATGTCATATCTTGTTAGCATCCTCTGATGTTACTGACAGGTAAAATTATAACACATTTGTGTTCTTAATGAATTGTCCCGATTATACAGAAACAAATTAATATTTTTCAATATTATGATGAAATATGCAAAGTATATTGCAATTCTCAGTACACTTGCAAATGTTAAGTAATCAAACTAGTCAAATGATTGGAAGTGGATTCTGATCCCTGTTACACCACTGAACACTGCATTTTGTTAGGGGTGGAGAGGGCATTAAAAGCTCGTTACAGATGAGAAAGAAGCATTTTTCCATAAAGGGCAAAGCTAAGTAAGGTTGTGTTTGGAATTAAAAATGCCAGTTTCTACTGCTACATCTTTGCATTTGTCCCTGCCTGTAAATTAAATAAGTACAAAAGAGACAGCTCTGAATTTTTATTTTCAGAGGTACTGACTGTGTAAAATACACAAAAGTACTTTACAACAAATACTTTTAATAAAAAGATTTCATCTCTATGCCATAGACTATTAGTACAGTCTGTTGGAGACACCATGCTGATACTGTGCTGGGCTATACAAAATTGTGTATATTCCTATAATCACATATCAAAAACTTGTCCTGCATGGACTAAGGAGTAGTGTATACATAGATTCTTGTTGATGAGAAAAAAAAATGTAGTAAGTAGCAACAGTTGACATTTCAGAGCTAGAGTGAAGGAAATAGCTTTAAATTCAATCACATTACTTGCTATCATGGGAATTCTCTGAGCTAACTGGAAAAACCTGCACATCTCATGCTTATCATATTCCTGCATAAGTATGCAGAGCTACAAACATGACAAATCTCTTGTCTTTAACAGTATATATTTACACACATCTGTCCCAGCAGTTGCATTACATCTGGATGTCAAGAAAAACATCAACAGATACTTAAACAAAAAACAAGGAAATGCTACTTAAATACGAGGGGTATTTCAATGCCAGCTTAAAAACCAGCTTCAAACGTGCCATTGCTGTGTTCATAAACCGTCAGCTGTTTGGAAGGAAATGCTTTAATGCCAAAAATTTGGACCATGCCATACATGAGAAATCTCATTCAATTAAAGAATGAAACTAGATTCTCAAACACTGACCAATAACGTGTAGACAAAACCAAACTGTTATGAGAATTATAGTGACATTTTCTAGAAGCTTCAGAGTGCCAAGAGGTGGCCATTCAAAAATACTAAGTAGACAGTTTCTTAAATGTGTACCCTCCAATATGAAGCGTTTATATACATACAAGTCCCAGCATATGCCTTTGCTTCTTCCTTCATGGGAAGCAAATCCAGGTGTGCAAACCAGAAGAGAGCTAAAATTTTGACATACTCCTAGAAAAAGTGTTCCACAGAGTTTAGCACCCCACAGCCTGTATGCAGCCAATAAACCCAAAGCTGGGAAAGGTAAGTTATCTGAATGCAACATTAAGAATCCTTCAGGATAAAGCCCACAACTCACATTCTCTCAAACCTGTATTTCATTCTGCACAAGTTTTAATTTGTCCCCGTGATTAATAACATTAATTATATCAAAGTGAAGGAACATGGTACAGTGCCATGGTAGGGTCTTTTTTTACTTTTTAAAAAAGTTTATTCGACTCTATCCAATTCCTGCATTAACATTTAATAGCAGAAACTGAACATGTGGAAAATGTTTAGGTTACCCTCCTGACTTACATAGCACAGCTTTAGAGTTATCTAAACAAATCCGTGAACAGAACTAGACATTTCTTTTATACATCTTGGGATAACTGTAGATACTGGACAACTGATCAAGAACAAGAAAACCTAACCACTGAAGCCTCCAAATTATCTTTTCCTGGGGTCAGACAACAGCCATTCCCCTTTTCTGTGCAATCCTTAGGTAAAAAAGCTTCCCCTCAGTATGTTGTGCAACTGCGTAGCAGAAGTTGCTCCTTCACGCTCAGCTGTTGGCACAGGACAGTAAAGACTGCTTAAATCAATCAAGCAAAATGTATCTGCATCAGTAACATCAAAAAGGAGACTCACAGAGGTTAAGTCAGGGAAGCCTCATTTCACCATACAGAGTAGGCACCTCAAGAGTAGCAAATAGTGAAAACTGTGCTTCAAAGCAGTTCTGCAATCAGAGCTACTGCTCCTTCTACCATCTGTTACCATCGTATCAGCTCTTTCAAAAACAAGTTAAGCAAAGGTTGCTAGGTTTCCTTTAAGAAATGAATAATAACATGTTCTCTGCACAATTACTGTACTTCCTGAGAACAGCAGTAATTTTCAGAGAATTTGAAAAGTAAATCTGTTAATAAGCTCAGGAATTAATATTAATTAAATGCAGGGTCTTTCAGAAATGTAGCAAGAACTGCAAGACATTTTTTGCCTTTTGATCCCTTTTGATTTTGTTAGAATACTATTAGCTGTTCAAGCTACCCACATCAGACTGAGATTTTCCTTTTTATCTACGTTCACATACTGTGTTTTAAGCAAGAATTCTTACTTTTGCTAAAATTCTCTCTCTTGGCAGATGCCAAAAACCAGAATAATTTCCTGCCAAGAATGGTAAGAACAGTCTTCTATGCGACATACTTCCACACCTCCCAGACTCAGTGGGAGGCAAACCACTCCAGAACTCAGTTAATAGCCATTTTGAGAATGATGCCTCTTTCATTCACCTCCCTACTCCAAATATACATCTACATGTCCTGTATGGCTTAGATGTATGTTACAGCTATTACAATTTCAGGATAAGAGACAGGCAAAATGTGTCAGCAGCAGGGACAGTTTTATTATGTTGATATATCTGGAAGAATATGGATAAGCTCTCCAATTCCATAACTCATCAGGTCAAGCTAAGGATGTTTTCTGGTTTTATTACACTGCTACCCAAACTTACACTGCATCCCAGAAAGACAGCGTAACTAAGGCCATACACTAATCCCTCCATCTAAAAATGAATGCTGACGTTTTGAAACCTTCTAGTAAATTACAAACAGGTGATGCATTACACAATTTCAGCACAGCACTCATTGATACCTTTTAAACTTGATCTGACTTGAAAATCCTCATCCAGTTTCTGAAAGGGACATGTATTTTAAAACTCCCTTTGAAATCCTCAAAACCACTGTGAATTAAAACTATGTATGTGTCAAACCAGCAGCTGCAGAGTAACCGAGAACACTGGGATCTGCATCATATTATATACAGATATATACAAGCCAGCTCTTTATTTAGAATCACCAGCAAAGAAGAGCATCTCTGTCAGTCCCACTTCTCTCCTCTATCTGTAGCACAGCAGCAGTAAGACAATTGGAGGTATAAAACTTAAAAAGCAGACTCAAGGGTTCTTTTCTTAGGCATTTTAAATTAATGTGAAATGCAGTGCTAGAACAGAGTCACGGCAAAGTCTCCCAAGGGCCCAGACTGTCAAAGTGTGAAAATGGATTGGCTGATTTATTTATTTGCTAACTTCTCCTCTGAGTCTTTAGGAGCAACTAGGAACAGTGGTTTAACACTTTAGACATGAAACAGTCACTTAGATGCAAGTGACGTTTCCCCCCCTTTTTAATGTGCTGTTTTTTCTGTGACCGTGTCACTCTTACCTCCCAATGAGACCCTCAGGTTAGAGACAGAAATGCTGTCTGAGTTTGAAGAGATCAAAGTGCTGAATGTAAATTAGTCCTCCAGTTATGCAGAAAATGGGCATTACACAACAGCTACCCACAACTATGTCATCCTTATGCCTTCATCCTGACCTGGAAAGCATCAGCCTATACAGATGCAAAAACCTGTCAGAAAAAATTTGTGGAAGACATCTTTAGGAAGAGAACAGACAAAGCTAGCAAAATTTCTTTGCACAGGTCTCCAGATAGCTGTTGGGTAGCATGAAGTCAATAATGCAAAACGGTGTACGGTGTTAAAAGCCTCAGTAATTTGCTTCCCACTTTTCTCCTTGGTTGTGACACCCCAGGTGTTAAGCCACAATCAAATCACTTCACCTTCCTGTGCTTTAGTTTCTCCTTCTCTTAAGCAGATATTGACCTTTCTTTATTATGCACTCTGAGACATATGAATGAAAAGCAGTACCTAAGAGCTGATTGTTATTATAGCTACTAATAATAATGCTTGAGCTTTGTAAGTCTCTCAGGTAAAACAATTCTGTATGACTAAGCATATCTCTTAAATCCTTCCAAATCTCCACTTGAACTTTACAATCTAGATGGTGAAGGCAGAGCCAGGAAGAAGGGGCAATGGAAAATAATTTCCTCTTCACTGGAAATAGAACCTCTTCCAAAAGGAAAAAACGTGTGAAACACATTATATACATAGAAAATATTGTAAAAGTCAGTAAAAGAGGTTTCTAAAAGCAGTGATATAAACTGCCCATTCTGGATGGCAGAGTACTGGCTAGAATTACACCTTCCAGCCACAGTTAAAATACACTGGTTTAACTTACTGTCATCCCAGTGGAAGACCTCAAGACTTCTGAAGTTAATGGGTTGTTTCTCACTGACTTCAAAAACAAACCAGGCTTTTACTTAATGTACCTTTTGTCTCCGGAGTCCACACACACACTGTTGCTGATTAAATACTACATCGTGAAAAACAACCTTCAAACGTACTTTGTTTCAAAAGTAAAATTAAAGTGATAATTAATTTTTTCTCTTTTTTTTTTTTTTCCCTTTTTTTTAAAAAGAAAGAAGTGACCCAGGATTACTTAGTGTACAATTCAGACAGAAAGTCATTTAATATCAGGATAGACTTTACTCAGAATGAAAAATATTTTGGGTACTGTACCTTATGGTACAGTATGTCAGAACGACACAGAGATGAGGAAGAATGGTCTTTTAGCTGGGCCAGAATTCCATATTTAAAAGAATGTAGTTGTCTTCAAATCTTGATAATCATTGGTCCCTATTCCCTGTTCAACTGTAACATTATTTAACAACTCAAACTGATAATTAAGTTCATCATCCCAGTGGAATTTTTAAAAGAGGCTTAATTTTCTGCAAGAGAATTGGAGACACTGTGGCCTGCCTAGCAGGGTAGCAAATCAATGACTCGGCAATGGGCAGTTGAAAGTAGATTGTTTTTAATCTATTAATGCCCGATATATGCATATATTGAAGGGTAGTCTTTGTGACCCTGCTAAGATTTATATTGCACTGCAAGTACGTTCATTTTTTTGCAGGCAGCACTGTACGATGAAAACAACAAACTTTAGCTGTTTATAAACAGACAAGAGTACAGCACAGAAAACTTAGATCAAGTTTTTGGAAAGCTGGATTCGGATATGGATAGGCTTTTGTTTACATCAAATGTATATGAAATAATGATCTACTGTCAGACTGCAAATTCTAATATTTCCTTTTTTTATGCAAGGCACGATACCAATTTTTTTTGCTTTGCTTACAAATTGCAGGTACAAATGCCCCACTGATCCTTATAAATAATCCATAATAATCTTTTGTTGAGGTCTCATGAATACATGCAGTAGAAAAGGCATATGATTTGAGCATGTGATGTATTTTTCTAACATTAGGAAAATTTTTCAGGTTTTAGTTAGTGAAACAGCTGTTTTCCAACAGTAATGCCTATTGCACTATACTTGTGTTGAGAAATTGAGAATTTGTGCATTTTACTGCAGATTTCTGTGAAAAGAAACTAAAATTACATTAAAACAATTGCAATTTTGACACTTTGACCTCCAAAAGTTCCTAATGATGTCATGCACAACCATCACATAATCTAGATCTGAATTCTCTTGAACTGTAACAGAAATGAGGGAAAATAACATAACTTTATAACTTGCCACATACACAGAGTCAATATTTATGGCTTCAGAAAAGGCTCTTACCTTGAGAAACAAGGCTCCCTTGGAAGCCAAGGAGTCCATTCCTCTTCCATTGGGGTAACAGTGATAGGCAGCATCCATAACAGGATAGCGGCTGGCAAAAAGTAGACCACTGTTCACAAACTTAAAGCTACAGCAGCTGTGGCAACTGTAGACTCCAACATCATAGACAATGTATTCAAAATAGTGATGAAGCTGTTCTTTCAATTTCTCTGCAGCTCTTTTGTCAAACACTTCCTGCAAACACAGAAAGTCCAAGTTGGCAGGGAAGAAAGCAGAGATCTCATGATCAAAGGTCTCATCTGTATGTTTCTTTTTCCGCACTGAAGTCTTCTTCATGATTGAGGCTTTGTAGAGGAGCTTGTTGTTGACAGTGCTTTGGTCGACTGTACCATCTCCAACACGAACTTTAACTAAGGACTCTCGTGAGGCAGAGTAGCTGTCTAAACTCCCAGAATCTCCTTCCTTCTGCTTGTGGTTCGGGGTTTTTGAGATCTCAGTGTCACCTTCCAGTGGCTCTGCAGGGCCACTGGCATGAGCCTGGCCATTGACGTTATCTGTTTCTGTGTCTGACATGTGGCCATTATCCTCTCCATTTATGCGGACAATGCAGGTGTTTTCTTCTCCCTCATTTGGCTCTCCAGCTCCACTTTTACCTTCTCTACTGTCCTCACTGTTGTTTGAGCCAGAATTGTCTCCCTTATACTCCATCGATGTTGTCCTTTTGATGCCAGCATTAACAGTACGATTAGTGCTATCTCCACCCTGGGGGGAGACCAAGCTGCTAAAACTTGCTGCACTGATGGATGTGTTGGTAGGAGAATCTATATATATTTTGATCTGTGGTCTGCTTGCTCCATTTCGGATCCTCCGGCCAATCTCTTTAGCCCTGGCCTGTGTATTGAAAACGTTATTAAATCTTGCCAGAGAATCTGGCAGCAGGCAAACATTGGCACTGCCAAAGCAGAAGCTTTTCCCATTCCCTGCAGCCTTCCATTCAGTGAGCAGTGTGGCTCCACTGGCATGGTTCTTGTCTTTTAGTCTGGAGTAGATATATGGCCTTCTGGCTGACTGGAGAGGGGACCATAACAAGAAGCCAATCAGAGCAAAAGGAAGAGAAGCTACCAAGAGTGCCAAGTAGATGGGAGTGGTAATAATGATGCAGAGGGCATGAAAATAACACGGATCATCTGCTCTTTGACGCTTTTCATAGGTGGTGGGAACAAAAGAGCCCACGAGCCTATCTGCTAACCAGTAACATGGAAAAATCAGGCCCCAGGAAAAAGAATGCAGAACTGACAGAAAGCTGTTGGGAAATGGGGAAGTGTATAAAACCATTGCAACTTAATTATGACAACACTTCAGGGCCTACTACATGATGTCACTGTGTCAAGCATCCATAAGAACACTGGGAGAGGCCTGGGGAAATAAGGTCCAGTCAGGAGTTTGGTTTTTTTCCGGTGAGAGTCAGTAACAAAACTTTAAGAGCACCATTTCACTGTGTTGGAGTAAAAATGCAACAAGGCCACTGTTTTCGTCTGGCTTTTTGGCATCTATATTTGTCAGAGGATTTCATTGTTCACTGGAGGCTGCCATAACGAACCACTCTGGAGGCAAAAAAGTAATCTGTAAAAACAAAAGACACAGAACATATGTCACAGTTATTAGAAGTTTAAAGCAAATTTTCTCAAACCAATTTTGCCTTGCAGTCTAAATTACTTCCCAATTACTTCCCTTTTAAAATTTAATTTAGCATTTTGGTAGTCTGCTAAAGACTATGGATCTAGGGCAGCGCCAGTGAGGGACTGGTACTTCTGCATATGAAATCAGTACATTGACCATTTAATGCACATAACTAATGTTGCCATGAAACACATTTCTATTATGAATTTTAGGCCTTAACAGCTGGCACAGAGTATAATGCACAGGTCAGAAGCAGTAAGTAAGGCATTAAAATACATGGCTTAACTAGCTCTCTTTTTACCACACATATTTTTTGTTTATTACTGCTAAGAAAATTCTTCCCTCAGTCTGGATTGCTGATCAGCAGGTCTAAGAGTATTCACAACACATCAGATTTGCAGCTGTACATTTTTGGTAGGCACCGTGGCAAAAAAAGAATTTTATTAAAGGAATAGATGAGATGGTTTCACAGTTATTTCTTCCCAGAAGTAAAAGCCAACTCGTGGGCAAGTTAGTCTGAAAAATCTAGTGAGATGGTGACAGGGGCTCATAATAAAAAACTACTGGAGATAGGAATAAAATCCTCAAATAGGATGAGAAAAATCAGGTTTGGTAGGGACAAGATTATAAGGACCTTCAAAAGCAAACCCAAGTAGTTAGTACCCAAGTACTACAGAGAAGGAAAAGCCATCAAGTGCATACATTAAAAAGGATGGCAGTACCACAACAGAAAAACTGCTTTTAATTACTGTGTCCTGGGCATGCATGGAAAGCTGTATCTTAGAAATTTTATGTAGAATCTCCCAGACAGCAAACAATGCTTAAGAAATATGCATATGCTAATACCAGGAAAAGATCACCAAAACCTGAAAATAAATGAAGGTGTGGGGAGAAATAGAAGAATCAATAAGCTGGTTATTTGGGGGTTTTTGCAGCAACACACACCTAGCCTTCTGAGTGTGAGACTAACACCCCTGCAGTTGCTCACAGCCAAGTGCATATTTTGCCAGCACCAGGCAATTATGTCTAAAGGGAGATACAGTCCTGTGTATTTTTGCACTGATGGTACTATTTAGATGGAAATTGGATAGACTGGATCACAGGAGGCTTTTTTTTTTGTTGTTTTTAATTATTAGCTTAACATAACTTTCACAATCTTATGCAACATGTTTTAGTTTAAATAAATGAGTAACTAGTAAAGTGCCAAATAACAAATGCTTGGCATTTACTCATTGCCAAAGGAATTTTAGGATGTTGCTAACAGGGGGAAGCCTAGCAGATTTGTTTTCCTCAATGATTTTTAGGTCTTGTTAGTAAGAATGCTCAAAGGAGACTCTGACATCTACATATTAGATATAAAGAAATAACTTTAAAACTGTCCAATTATGTAATTACCATTAGACAAGAAAAAACTGTAAAGAAGTTAGTCTGCTCTACAGGATGCTTGAAATGCTTTATAAAAGCCCTGTCTATTCCCATAATCACTCAGTAGACCAGATAGGTTCTTGTTTACAACAGTGCCAAGGGTAAACAGAGCACTGCTGTTTGGGTATGTGAGGACAGACTGCAAACCTTATATTCCAAATTTCAGGCTAATGATCTTTCTGGTGAAAGCTGCAGTTGTGTTGCAGACTATAAGGTCAGTTTGACTTTCACTAGTTTAAAATAGCACACCAGAAAAAATGCAAAACTTCAATGGATCCATAATGGTTTGTCTAATGAGTCTTCTATTGGCAAGTATTTTAAGTATATGATAACAGGGTGCTACAACTCCTAGGGAGACATGACATCAAATGACAATTTTGTAAATAAAGTAGTCAATGCCTGCTCGATGATCTGATGAAGAAGAAAAAAATAAATAAAAAAATCAATTGAACATAACTCATGCCGGTTCTGTTATGGACTGCAGCGTCAATCAGCTGCAAGATGAACAGCTGTCCAGCAAACCACAAAATGCTCAACTGGAATAGCTTCACAAAAGCAATTATCCAGGCTATGGGGACATACTAAATCTAAGAATTTCATAGTTAGAGGAAATACAAAGTATTATCACATGTATTAGTAAAAAAAGAGAAAAATGAATGCAATCAGAAATCCTTTCATGGGGTAAGTTTACAAAGGTACTGTCATAAAGCAAAACTGGTTCAGACTAACGTCTGTTTTAACAACATTTAGCAAGAATGTAATTCTCTGTAAACACTAAGGACTGACTGATGGTTGAAGGCCACTCTGCTGACTCCTACACTTCATTTGCCTTAAACAGGACTAGTACCTTTGAAAATCAGGAATTTGCAGGATGGTTTTTGACCATGTGCCAGCTGCCTTCCTCCTTGCTAGCCAGCTGGGGAGGCTATAGGGATTTGAGTACAGACATTAATTCCATCCATTTTATTCTATGAATTCTAATAAAATCTCACAACTACATAAGTATAAAGTACAAAAACTCTGGTACCACAACAGGTTTTAAAACACAGTAACTGGAGAGAAAGGAGCATGGAATCATGAGCTGGATGGCCTTTACATTTTTGCACACTGCAGACAGAAGACATCAGCATATCAAGGCCCTCATGAAAAACAGTTCTTGCAAGTAAAATATTATTCTATTTTATTAATTTTTTAGATGAAGGAAATCACACAACTTGCCAAAGCTCTGGTACAGACTCACTGGGATGCACACAAACAGGAACTAAGTTTCCTAATCTTGTCTCTTAGCTACAAAACCATACACATGCTAGTGCCACAAAGCCCCCAGAAAGAGAGAATTAAGAAAGACACAAGAGACACATTTTAGCTCAGCAAGTCCTTACAAGGGGGAGGGAGGGCACCACGAGTGAACTGCAACTAGTAAAACATGACGTCAGTAACATCTCTCCTAATGCATCAGTTTAGATGGAGCCTAAAGCTAAAGTGCATAATTCCTTGTGATGAAGGGTATTACTTGGTAATCCAATGCTTTATTCATAGGGGTTTGAGAGATTAAGGGAGAATTTAAGATATTGCAATGAAATAGATATTTTTTTATGCTACAAAGACGTAAACTGCAGTCTGTTTACTTGGTTTTATTATTTTCTAAGTGTTTGAAGGCTAAAAAAAGACTTTATTTAATTTTTTTTTTATAGTGCCAGTATAGAGTATCTCAACTTTGGTGATAACAAGACATCATGTGGAAAGATTTCAAAGATTTTTATGGTTATAATTATGCCCAGAAGTATGCTAGAGACATCAAAAGTGATGTTCCTAGCTCCAACATAGCTTGCAAACTAAATAAAGGACAATACAGGTTAACAAATAATAAGAGGAACAGAAGAAAAACAATAAATGTTGCAATAATACAGTTACTTGGACAGTCTAGAAGTGGTCAGAAAAGTTTACTTCCTCTATTAGACAAACCATAACTTAATCTCTCCTTTCCTCCATGGTCTCATCTGGTTTTGTTACCACACACACTCCAGAAATTCCTCCTTTCTTCATTCACTGTCTTTCCCCTGATTATTCTTATACATGCTTTTAATTAGAGTCTAGTTCAACAGCTAACTACCTTCTGGAAAGAAAAACAGTAACAACAAAAAAATCCTACTCCAAAAGGCAAAATACATGTGAACTGTTTTCTGTGCTTGATTACGTGACTGTAATTACAGAGACTCAGCCATCTCAAAGTGTCAGTGGCTCTAATGGAAATGCTTTCTTGTTCCCTTGTGATCACTTTGCAGCCTGATGTTTTAACTGAAATCCTGTCATGCTGTACAGGACTCATTCCACGAGGCAGCTCAAGATGTAAGGTAAGGGAATTTAAAGGGCACTTACTGGCTCATTTTAACCTCCACTTAAGTCAGTAACAATTTACAGATTTTGTAGTAAAAATTTAGTGAAAATGTGGATGCAGTATGATAAGAGCAGTTGAATCAGGTGTAGTACTGATACTGATGAATAAAGCAGTCCCCATTCAAACTAAGGATTTGTCAGAAGGAGAAAGGAAGGAGGAAAACATTTTTGCAGACTTGCCAGTTGTCACGGGCTTCATCCTGGCTCAAACCAGGACACCAATGCAATGTTCTTTTACTAGTTTCTCCCTAAACTTTCTTCCCTCTTTCTAAAAGAGGTAATCAAACGTTGCCTAGCTACTCTCCAGCTTGTCTCTTTTATGTCCACAAGCTGCCATGAGGCAAGAAGCCATTGTAAACAAGATGTCTAGACTAACTGAACTAACCTGTAAAAAAAAATAAAATTATTAACTGTGAATTTACTAGTTGCATACCAGTGATTTCAGCTGTTAAGTACATGTCTGCAGAAATACATTTTAAAAACTCACCCCCAGAAGTTCAGAGTCTGCTTAAGCCTTTAGCATATTTAGTGTCTACGCTGACCAAGCTACACATCAGCTGTAACAATGTACCAATATACCTTTCAAAACTTTGTGCACTCTGTTATTTAAATGCAAGTGCAGTAATACCAGCCTGTAAACATCAGGTGACTAGTTAGATACACGTCACATGAGAACTTTTTAATAGGGCATTTAGTTCTACTTCACTGTAGGGAGCAAAAACTCATCTAATAATCTGCACTCCAGAAACTTCCATCAATTATTTTTCTTTCAGTGGTAACAGAAGTAGATTGACAGCTTCTGCTGCTTTTTAGAGGGGCCAATGCCACAAATC